TTTTTCGAGGAAATTATCGACCAATCGAATCCTACCTTTTATATATTAACCCTTTGCTCTCCAACGGTGACTCTCCAGCACCACTGGGATTGTTGCAACTTGAATGACGACAATATTTATTTTTGATATTTATTTATTTTACAATACTTATTTATTTTATTTATGTTTGATTCTTTTAGAATATCGCTTCATAAATAGGTTCCTAAGCCCTTTATGTATAATCTTATGAGGTATAATTTTATTTTATGAATAATTATCTTATGGTAATCTTATGAGGTCACCGAACACACCGAACGCGCGGGTCTGAGTCTGGAGTTGCTAGTTCGACCGAGCAAAACTTGGAGTGCAAAGAGTTAAAAACTTATTCCAGAGACTTGTGTGAGAGAAATGGATACCGATCACGTAAAGAATCGTGAAAAATCGAGCCACGCGATCGATCCACATCGATGATCAATTCGAAAGAATCAGAGAATAAGAACTTCGATCGACTCTTACGAGAGTGGCATTTCCAATGGAATCGGTTTCTCGAGCTTTCCTCGCGCATTCTATGATAAAACACCGGTGTTGTCTGGATACAAGTATGATCGGGATGTTTCTCGATTTGACGGACACGACATTATCGATTCAACGACAGCGATCGTTGCGTCCCGCGTATGTAGCCAACGTCCACATTCGATTGTTCATTCACCTTGAAACCGCAACCACTATCCAGAAACTACGTTATTTTCTCGCGCGATCATCATTCACTCTTGTTCGAGGGAAAAAGGTTAAAAGTTCCGATGTGCTCTTTGCTTTCGACCATTATTGAAAAGAAATTGGAATTTCTCGCGTGTTCGAGTATGTGAAATTTTTTGAAATTCTTTTCGTCCTCGAAGAGATGTTTCGTTTATATACGATTAATAAATTTTTAAGTTCAAAGGTAAGAAAGGTTTTCGTAGAATTCTAGAAAAAATTCATTTCGATATCGTTTGAAGAAATGTGTTATTTTGTATAAATGTATAGCCTATTTCGATGAAGGATACAATGAGAATATTTAAGTATTCTTTGTGAATCACTTGTGTATAACGCTTTCTTTAAGTTCTATTTTCACACTGGTCTTATTGTTCTTTGTTAAAGTTACACTATTTTTTCTCTCCCTCTCTCTCTCTCTATCTGGAAATGCGAAGAAGTTGAATAGGCGGTTTTCAGAAATGAAAATGGAAATTCAAGCAAAGTTCCCGGTGAAAATTGTGAAAGTAAAGTAGAACGTACTTGCACGATACTCCACGATTTCAGAATGGTTTCCGGGGAGTTCATATATCTAGGAATTTATTATACTTTCATTCAATCTGCCCCAAGTTTAACAATACAAACGGTAGCTACTTAGAGGTATCATATTTTTCGAACGTCTTTATCATTCTGTGAAAGGATAATCTTTCTCTTAGGGCGTTCTCATGAAAATCGATCGTGAAACGACTCGACAAAAGGAGCGAGAAGCCATCTAATTTTCAAAGTTGCGCCGCGAATGAATGAACGAATGAAAGAACGAAAAGAAAGGGGTCGAAGAGAAAGGAAATCTTATTTTTATCGAATCTTATCCTCCACTAGTACTCCACTATTCTGAAAAATCGAAACTTTCGTTCAAATCCTTACAAAAGTTTTAACAATCAATTTAAAACAATGGTTTCTTCCAACAAGTGACATCATCGAAAGGAGACAATTGAACGTAATATTAATCGATAATAGTAGAAATCACTAGAATCTTTCATCCTTCGTTTCCTCAGCGAAAAAAATTCCATTCCTCCTTAATAATCGCAACCATCTTTCTTACCATATCCATAAAAATAGGCGAGCCATGCATAGAAATCGGCCGATCTTTCCCAAGTTCGCAACGGTGAAAGTTGCCACCCTCCTCCTTTGGACGAAATGCAGTGAACGAAAGCACGAAAAAAAAAAAAAAAAAACAATTTCCCCGCGATGCATCCGATATTAGCGCAGGGGACGATGAATTTCCCAGTGAAATGGATACGTCGCGTCTAACCGAATTTATTCAAATCCCCGTCGTTCCGTGGCCGCAATAAGCCACCCCCCGTACACCCCCATGCTTCCATGAATAATGCAACGCGCGAGGGGAACACACCTCCCTTCTTTCGCGCTTAGACATCGAAGCCAGCCGTAAGAGGCGCAAAGTGAGCGCACGATTCTTCTAAGAACTCGTATCGGAGAATGGCGGAGATGAAGATTTGCCTTATACGCCGCGTGAAGCGCAGTTGACACACTTTCCATCCACCGATCGATACGTCACCCACACCATAGACGCGTAAGAAGATCATTGTGGGCTGTCGACAAGATGTAGCAGAGAGAGAGAGAGAGAGAGAAGAGGAGAGGAGGAGACGAGGAGTTTAATTCGTAATGGTGTATTCTCCGGGAATGGTACAAGTATCGATCGTGACAGAATCGCTGTTGCAGGTCGCCGCGTTAATGCAACGACAACGTCGATCATCGGAATTGCTGAAATTTCGACAAGTGGCTGCTTCGAAGGGAACGATTATACGAACGATGCTGTTCCTTGGATCCTTGGAACGATTGGTTAGGTGCAATTGCGATCTCGCCGACAACTTTCATGTTTGTCGAGAGTCTTTATTCTACTTTTCACGGTTTTGATACTTTTTTTTTGTTGATATTTGATCACCCCAATTCGCAAGTTGCAAGTTTTGATTCGTCGATATTGGATACGTTTGATATCGTGGTAAATGATGAAAAGTTCATTAAAGCGATTGGATATCGTTTATCGGATCGTGCATATTTTAGAGATTTACTTTACGGGTCGGTTATATATTGATTTATCGATATTGCGCGTCTCTGTTGCGTTGAGTAATAAACGGGAAAATAACAATGTCATCGAATAATGAATAAATAAATTTGTAATAAGCGATCGTAATAAATAAACGAATGTAATTGAATGCAACAACATCGCGATTTGTTATTACGACCATGCTTTGGCAAATATATATCATCAAGAAGTTCTATATATATATATATATATATATGGATAATGGTAAAAAGTCATTTATCAATTACGAAACGTTTATTGTTGCGAATTAAAATCTCTTCCTCTCCTTCGATACGTGCAATATATATATCGAAGAGTAGGTAGTTTCAATGGGAAATACAAATGAAAAGCAAAACGTTGTACAAGCCTCGACCCTCTAAAATCTGCATTTACACAGGCAGTTATGTTGCACGACGCGACGTTTGATAGATTGACTGCATTTTACGCGCGATCTTGATGGATCGCCTGGCCGCCGTCTGCTCTATCGTCCAATTCACCACGGACGAGATCCTCTTGCGAAAATTCTTCGTCTAACTAACTCGAGGACGACGTTGCACGGATTGTTGCGGGATCCGACTTTTAAACTTAACGACAATCTTAACCGTGGAACCGGTTAATAGGATTTCACGCGACTTCATCGCGAAATAAAATGGAAATTAGAGAGAGAGAGAGAGATTCGACTAATGACAGAAATAAACGTCGTTCATTCGCCAGTTACGTATATTATTTTCATTCTTCGATTTCTTCGAAAAAGACATCTCGATGAATTCATTGAGCTTACCAAGTTTCTTATCCTCGTTTCAAAAGTATTCAAAGATAATTCTTTGCAATTCTTTGTAATTCTCATAATAATAATGTAAATAAATTTCCAACTTTTTAAAACTTCTTCAGCTTGTAATAATTTCCTTTCGAGGATAATCATTCGATGAGAAACGTTTCAATAAGAAATAAGGAGAAGATGACGATAAATCTTGGAAACGATTCCACCGTTTTTCAACCGTTCCAGTTCGAGACGTTAGGATGGAAGTGCAGCGTATCAATGATGCCATATTGAAATCGATCGACAATTTGATTTCAAATTCAATCGTTTTCATTCGTTCTTCTATACGTTTTTCTATTCGTTCGTTTATTAATATTGCATCATATTGCATCATATTATCATAAAGATTTATATTAATAAACGAAGGATATTAAAAAAAAAAAAAAACAAAGAGCTCAAAGAAGGTAGAAGCTAGAAAAAAACTTCATTAACGCAGATTAAGTAACGAGATTTGGTCTTGGAAGCTTACCTTTCACAGGTGAAAGGTTCTTTCAAGTCCTTTTATATTTAAATAAGCGTGAATTCAACACTCGCAGTCGTTCAATCGGTGAATTACCTTATTAACGAATAATTTAATTGCTATAACGTTTGGGCTCGGATAAGAAAGTAATTCGAGAGTTAAGCATAGATTAGTCGCTACTGGAGGAAACATCTGATTTTAAGGTTGAGGCGGTGGGTAATTGCAAGATTTAATACCATCTTTGGATTTGGAAATTATAGATTTGCGTTTTAATTAAAACTCGGTCCGTGATTAAAAATTTTCTTTGAACATATCTTTGAGAAGCTTTAAGAAAAGAGACGTTATTAAACGTTATTTAAAATTAAAACATTTTTGCGGTTTTGGTGTACGATTAAAATCGGATTCTTTTTTTTCCTTTTTGAATTCAAACGAAACGAAAAAATCTCATCGGTCGATTAATTACATCCAATTTTACTTTTTTTTCCTTTTTCTTTTTTTTTCTTATAACTAATCCCTTTTCTTTCCTCTCAACCGCTCTGCATACATTTGCCCCAAACGCAGCCAACTGTATTTACCGAGAAAGTAATCGAACACTTATCCGTCAATCGATAAAAGTTAGCTATCGACCTTTGCGAGTATTCGAGTATCTTTCATCTAAACCAGCGTCTCTCAACCTTTCTTTTATTATCCCTCGTGTATACGTAATAATTTTCTATTTTTTAACACAAGATAAACATTTATAAAAATTCCTACTCCAAAATTATTACTTACGAATATCGACGAGTATCCGCCGTTAAAAAATTTTATACAATAATAAAATCTTTGCTTTAAATTTAGATATAATCCGTATTGACGCATTGAGAAACACTGAAAGCAAGTAAAGATCAGAAAAAAAAAAAAAAACTCACCGATATTCAGAGCCCTCGCTGAGCTGCCTGACCGTAATAGGAAATTCGCTGGGTCCGTGTGCCTTCAGTAACTCCTGCAAACGCACCAGCCCTTCGTTATTCTCGTAGATGATGGTAAAGCTCTTCCAGCCCCAGGCTTTCACCAGATCAACGTACGCCTGAAACACACGCACACACGCGCGCCGCTTATTAGCCGCGATCGTAACCCACGAACGACGATCCATCGTTTCAAATAGGGGATATATATATATATATATACTTCACCTCTTCCGGCGATATTTATTTGATTCCTCTAAACTCGTTTGCGCACGGATTCTCGAAACGCGACTCGAATTTCAAAGGTGTAATGAACCGTGAGGATACACGCGACAACTAAGCTAAGCAAATGAGACCACGTTCCACGTTTTATCGCGATTGATTAATCAATTCGTTATTAAGAAAGATTGTTGGATCCGCTCAGGAATGTTTCGATAATACTTGTGGATCTAGTTATTCGATCGTATCTCGAGAAGAGATACAGAATACGATTTTTTTTTTTTTTTTTTTTAGATTTAGAAGAGATTGAAAATTCTATCTTATGTTCGCGTTATGGATTTGAAATAATTTAGAGGGTCGAAATTAATTGTGTATGCGCTTAATGGATTAAAATATAATCCAAGCCCGATGATTCATTATTAACCAGTTGGATACGGATACTCGTGCAGCCATGGAAAATTTAAAAGGGAATATACAGGGGATGCGAATATTATGCAAAAATGCATAAAATATTGAAGCAAAAAGCACTCGTTATAATTTTGATTTATATACATCCCATTTCCTTATTCGTAATAAAAATATAAATCTTGCACGAACATCTACACATCATCAATTGGTAATATCTTTCCAGCTTTTCTGATAAATAAACGGATAAATCGTTGATGATTATATATACATGTACTAATTTACACTTCAACGACAAATATTACAAATTTTAATCCGAGTTCGGTTTCTCGTTCGCCTCCGTTTGCCAAACTCAAATCGGTGATTAATCCCAACAGAGGTGGTCACGAGGAAGCATCCTCCAATTTACAGTTTTCACTTTAGATCCCATTAGAATGTTAGATTGCGATCTGACCCGATGAAATATCGATAACGTTACTCCATAAATTGGAACTATCACGGAAGTTCTATAGACGCTATTATCGCTGCCATGAAACTCTATAAAATATCACAGCCGTACGCGTACCACGTTCTATCTCCGTGTTAGTGATATTTTTAATCATTTTCCAAGCTCCCTTCTTTCCCCCTGTTGTAAGGACGCCTGATCATCAACCATCACGACCGCCAATTTTTCTCGATTTTTTTTCATTTCTACGAAAACGAAGAAGAATCATGGAGGAAATTCGATTTCACGGAATCCATATAGGAATTTATATTATCCGTTACATTATCCTTAAATTTCCATTCTCGAGTGTCTTCGAACGAAGTTGGATGTATCGAGAGTTGGAAATTCGAGCGTGAAATTACACGTGGACCGTTTGTCCAAAACTATTAAACGAGCCAAGGATCCGAAGATATTGGAATATTAATTTCGAGGATACGGCGAGGGCGGGGAAATGTTAATAAACTCTCTTGTACTTCAGTTTCAGCTATTTACTCGCTGATGTAAGGTCAACTATTCTGCGGAGAGGCTTCCGAGAAGGGTTTTCTGGCGAGAAGAGGCGAAATTATAACTCGGGGAGGACAGAGTGGCGAAAGAAAAATGGAAAAATCGCAAAAAATTCTCGCCAGCTACCATTATCTTCCATTCCACCATTCGTGGAATCATCATCAATCATCTAAAAACTCACTGCTCGCGGACTCGTGTCTTTTTTCCCTTCTCCTGATAAACAGACTGCCAACTACCATTATCTTTCAACTTATCTTTGAATGGACTAATGTAACTCCACGGAAAACGTATTATTTCGCATACGGTTAAAAATCGGCGAAAATATCCACCGATATCCGCTCTTACGTACGCAACCAACAATGATAAACGACATAAATTGCAGTATTGTCGGCCAACTACTTCGTTCTATCGTGTCGAAGGGATGAGAATCGTAATAGTTGAACTGGTTGTATAATTTTACTTCAACTCAATTATTTTAACACTTGTATCGCTATCATTCATCCGAAGTAAAATTCTAAACAGAAATCATCGATCGAATCGTGAACCATTCGTTTCATTATAGGAGATGCACAACTTTTCTCTTCTCCCGCTCGCCAATAACGGAAAGTAAAACGAACGAATTTATCCATAACGGATTCTTACTCGAAACTCCGCCTCTCGAGCAGATTTATACCCAAGTTTGGCCAGAAATTAGAAAATTCCTTCGTTTCGCTAATATCGATCCGAGCTGAAACCAGTTTCCCCCAAACTGGGGGGGAGTTTTCCCCTTGCTCGCCAACTGGCGCGACCGATGTTTCAAAAGTTAGCAAGGGCACGCGGCCATAGGTTTTTCCATTCAGGAGGGGGCGGTTCAGTTTCACGTGGAAAACGACTATTACGGCCAGCCGAGCCCAGCCCCCTCGACCAACTTCGCCACCGAGTTTCCCGCGAGGAGATCCGCGTAACTCGCGTTTCGAAACCCGCTTTTCCGATAATCCCAACTTCCTAAAAGCGCCGCTGTATATTTTTCCGCCGAGCAACTTTCGCCGTACCGTTTCGCCTCCTTTCTCACCCCCTCCGCACCCCCTACCCCCGACCTTTTCACTACCTATCCACGGTGATCTTGTACTCGTGCGCAAGCTCGTTTCCAAGATTTTATCCCGGATGTGTCTCGGCCCGAAACGCGCATGAATTCGAAGCTGAATCTCGAACCATTGATTGCCAATATTTGAAAGGGTGCATCAATCTTGCCGCGGTTTCCCCCTTGTCGAGGACGAGACAAACTTTTCGCTCCGCTCTCATCTTTCCCGATCTCTTACTTGAGCTTAGCGAGAGAGAGAGAGAGAGAGAGAGAGCTCGTTTCTTTGACCGAGCTCTAACTTGTTTAATGGAGAGTTACTCTTCTTTCCTGGAGTTACTTTTGGGGAAAAAGCGCGCGCAGGGCGGGCCGATTAACCGAGATACAGGAGGTGTTTTCTTGCAACAGTGATCAGTTGGCACAAGAAGAAGAACGCTGCGGGGGATCTAGAAAAAGTGTGTACACGGTCTTCTTTTCCCGGGAATGTTCAATTTCAAACGATCCTCTCACCGTAATCAACGAACGTCACGTCTTTTGAACGATTAATTAATAGATTCTCCGTTTCGAGTGTTATTATACATTTTCTATATTTCTTTTTTTTTTTTAAGAGATTATACATCATGTAAATTTTCTATAAATAAGTATATATATATGCATTGGGTTTCGAACTTTTCTTTCCCTTTTTTAGTTTTTCTTTTTTTTTTTTGTAGCCATAACGAAGTGCGCACCAGAAAAAGGATACATTCGAATTAATAGAGACTAGCTTGTTTAATTAAATTTAATTCTTTTGATTATAACGAGTAAGTAAAAATTTTGCTTGCTTAAACTATATATATATATATATATATATATAAAGAGTCTAAGCTGTTAACGGATTTACAACAATTTGTTTCCATAATTTAAGTATTCAATATACACTGTAACTACGGGAAAGTAATAATTACACGGTATCGATCGGTTTCGAACGCCATTATATTCGAGCACCGATAATTAGAAAACAAATTAACGCAATGATATCGTAGAACGATGGCGTAGTAATTTCAGAAAATGGGCCAGGGCCGTTCTGATCGAAAAAATGCTTGTCGAGAATACGTCATAAACCTGATCGCGTTTAATGAACGCGTTCCACGACCTGCGCAAAGAGTATTAAATTCCTCCGGCGGCCATATCGTTCGTATTTTTCACGTTTTTATTAATATTTCAAAAATTAATAACCAGATCGACACCGCGACGATACTCTTCCTCGAATTAATTCCGATTAAATTATTAAATTATTAATCAATCGGGGGAAAGTTTGCCGCCACTACTCGAAAAGAGTGTTTTACAAGTGGAGCCCCGTAAAGCCAATATTTGAAACTTCACTTTGAAAGATAATCAAACAACAGGAACATTGAAGGATGCACGAATGCCGAAAATTGACTTCACGAGAGAAGCTCTCGCCAAGTTTCGCCTCCATCCCTGTACACTATTCGCACGTGTATAGAGGAATGGACAGAAACAAGCGTTGGGAGAAAGTTGCAAAGTACGGAGACACTGTTGAATTTCCACACAATGTATACACACAGGATACACCTCGAGAATTCGTGGGGAAAGGGACGCGGAATATCTACATAGAAATTGGCCCATTAACGCAGAGAAAGGAATACAAAATTACCAATGTGAAAATATTTAATAAACCACGAACATCTATCATAATAACAAACAAATTCTATTATCTCCAACAACCATCAATTATACGCTCCTTTCATCGATTCAAAATTTAATAATCCACGCCGTGTGTATCCATTAACGCACGATTCCACGAATTACACCTACGTAGCGCCTATCCCAACCGAGTTCAAGCGAAACCATTTCGAGATCTCGCCACGAGACTTAGTTCAGATTTTCTCGACGCGAGGAGGAAACGCGAGGAATCGATGTAATGCGGCTCGAGGATCGTGCGCACAGGCGATACGCGAAACGTGTTGAAAGCGTGTATGGAAATACGAAGGGAGGAAGGGTGTGTTTCGTTTCCGCGAAAAAAAAGGAACGAAACAATGAGAGTGGGTTATAAATCGGTGGGGGATCGGGATTATTCGAGGGTTTGCATGCCACGCGTCTCCCATAATCGTAGAAAATACGCTGTAAATCTGACCGCGACAATTGTTGCCCACCATCTCTCGCTCGAGCGTGTTCGGTTTTCGACGAGTACTGGGCGCAGAGTATGCGCAAATCGTGAGTCGGGCCTGGTCACGTTTTCCCGCACCCGATACACGTTGTATTTCCACCCTGGTAACTTGGTAGACCGACATCGTCTACCGACGGTTAATTTATCTTTCGCTGCTTTAAACGCTCTCGTTCTACGGATAGATCCAAAGCTTTGCGAATTATTTGATTGGGGCCTGTTCCACGCGGCCTGTCCTCGTTGCGGTTTCCTTCCAAACTTGTTCGATAAATTGGTTGGATAAATTTTG